TGCGTCGATTCGACTAGTTTTCGAAATGGTAAGAATAATGAGAAAACATTAGAAAATATCGAAATATCTGAATAAATTTAATGAAAAAGTCACCGCTGGTGAAAATATCAGTCGAGCGAAAAATAAATTCGTTATACAGAGGAAAATATCAATTCTCTACTGTTATTAATTTAAAAATTATTTATCAAGATCCCCCAACAAAAAAATCCCCCTAAATGCAGCTCGATCCTCTCATGCGCCTTTAAACGAATAAAAATTACCTAGACTGAATAAATCACTTATCCTTCAAACCAAGTAATTCCTGGACATAAAAATTCGTATCCACATGCAGCAGTGCGAGCGAAAGGCATAAATAACGCAATATTCCCCACGTACAATTTTTTTCCCCTCATTCTCAATGTGTCGATTTTTTGTTCAAATTCGTACCGTAGTTTTTCTACAAAAAAGTAAAAAATCAATCTCGACCTCGCGGGATAACTGGAGGACAATTTGGAGTACAGGAGGAGCTGGGCACAGTCTCTCGATGACAGCTCAAGTGTCCACCTTACCTTTTTCCGTGTGTAAAGTTCATTAAAATTAAAAGGGTCAAGGGATATTCGCGCAGTAATTACCACGTTCATTAAATGTTGAGAGTGCGACGTTCCGATGAATCATTTTATTGGTGCGGTGAGGAAAATATCAAAGAAACGATTCCTGTAAAGCGGCCGATTGGATTTTTAGCGGTACTTTTGAGTAAGAAGAGGGAGATTGGAAAAACAAACTGGTAGAAAATACAGAAGGAATATAGGTCAAAGTATTGAACTTGTGAGGCCTCGCCTAACATTATGGGGTGAAGAAGTAGGTCATCAGGGGTGAGATTCCCCCTGGACAAGACTCCCTCCATCGATTTATTCTACTGAAAAACCGTAGAAGGCATTTATCAAGAAAAACAACCCCAATCATCCCTTCAATTACCTCCGCAAGTGAGAGTACCCGCACTTGGGGCGTATCAATTAAACATGTACGAATGGTCCGAGGGTCTTGAAACGTTGCGGGACGTCTATACTCTTTAATTAAGGAGAATGCCGGTTGTTAATCGCAGCTACACAGTCGATTAAGTATTCCCTAATTTAATTGAAAACGATAGCTGTGAGACATTTTGAAATTCTCCTCGGAGTTCGAACGCGATTCAGAAATTTTTCGCGATCACCCCAAAAAATTTCTGAATATTCAGTAAAAATTACGCGATTCACAAATCTCAGAAAATTGATAAAAAAATCGGATAGAGATTGTGATAAGAATTACGCCACGTGCTTAAATAATTTCGTATAAATTTCGCTCTGGATTAGGGAAGTGCGAAATTTTTATTGAGTATTTCTCGGTGCGTGCAGTAATTACCTATGACGAGTGCTCCCGAATGATCTTTTGGGTCGTGGCCAAGAAATGGAGGGGAATTTTGGCTGTTTGAGTAGGTCAAAACCATCGAGTATCTCTATGGCAACACCCGAGCCTCACATTCACCCTCACTTTCATGTTTCACAAATATATTATCCACTCCCCTCATTCCCCTCTCATCCCTGATGTGAGGTCGACAGTTTTTTGGAATTGGTTCATTCTTGGCACTTGACCTTGCAGGGGAATCTATTTTTTCTAATATCAACATTCGGTTTTATCCCCAGTCGCCGCCAATTAAAAATGGGTAATAGTGGCCTTGAACTGTTTCTTTCATCACCCAAATAGACTCACACGTGGGTGTCAAGAAGTGGGGGTTGGACCCACCTGACGGTTTGACAGTGACACGAATTTTTTCGATTTTAAAATTTTTCATTTTTGTCTTCATGGATTTATATCGACGAATTAAATCGCTCGCGTTCATCTCGTGAATCACTTTTATTTTTCGCACATTATCTCAGACCTTAGAATGAAACATTACCCATGAGATACAATTTTTTGACTCCCAACTATATGAATTTCAATAAAAACGAAGAATTATCATAATTTTTTGAATGCCCGATTATTTTCGATTAGTTCCTCTTAAATTCCCGAACGAATTTTCACAATAAAATGAAGTACAAATCGAAAAATGGGATTGCTCATCTAGAGTTAATTGAATTAATTAATTGAATGGACGAAGGTGAGACCAAAGAAACGCCCAAATTACTCTCTAGTTATTTCTGAATGGCGGATACCGAGAGAATCGATGATGTGACTTTCGTATGATTTTTTTAAATAAAAAAAATAACGACAAGGGCTGGTGAAGCGGAGGATGGGGCGTCTGCGCGTCGCGACGCCGCAATGATACCCTGAGCTCTATGTATAGCCATTGAAAATAGGGGCCTACCCGAAGTATATTTGCGCTTGGTTTTCGTTCCATGCGAATTATCTTCCTCATTGAAGGCACGTTCATCGCCACCGTAACACCACCATCGGCCTTTCGAATATTTTCCCTCCATTATTCATAACTCCTCAATAATCCCGCCATTAAATTCTGTGCGACTCCTGTGCGACGTGAATCAAAAGTGACATCAAACATTAGTGGATCCACATATTATCACTAGGAAAGTCCGAGGGATTGAAACGGATTCAATCTTGAGGTAAATTTTTATAATTTCACTGTTGCTCGATGTTTTGAATTTCCATTTTTTTTTTTTCGCTGGAGATCAAAGGGAAAATTTGGGAAAATGATTGGAGGGAAATTGGCGATTTGAGATCAGATGAAACGAGCCGGTTGTAATCTTTTTTGTAAATATTGAATCGCGTCGGGAAACAATTGTTATTTATTTTTTTTAGCCCCAAGACATCGTTTCGGTAGCGGCTTGTTTGTATTAGCTGATAATTATCCGCGCTTATGCATGCAATTATTATCGCGAATCCTCGGGTATGTGTTTTGTTAACAAACCGTATTTCATCGGTTGTATTTTCATTCTTTATCGCGGTTTTATCTTCCCTACGACAATGAGAACTAAATGAGTAGTTATAACCAGGTTTCTACTGTAGGGAATGTTCCGGATACTCTAAATCCATTACGTTCTAAAATATTCTCAATGATGAATTTACAAAATGGCTTCCCTCTCAAGTTTAATAACTCATCGATATCTGAATTCAATATATCATTTTGAAAACACTCAGCCGATAAAAATGCCTGAGAAATACTGAACGGATTATGACTTCCTTCAAATTGAATTACCGACAATTGAATTAAGTTTGTTAGGAACACGGAAGGGTGGAGTCACATTGAAACCTCGGAATTTACTCTGCTTAACAATTTTTATTTATTTATTTATGCAACAATATTCGCAGATATGACAATGAATCTATAATTAGATAAATCACACACTATAAAAACATTTATAAAAAATCAGAACAAGAAATATTATCCAAATAAAAATGATCTCAAATTACATTATAATTAAAATTATAATGAAATTTTGTTATTATTAATAACAATTGTTTTCTTTTTCGTAGAGACAGCGAAATTTTTTTAGATCGAGCTGTAACTGATGTTTCGGTCTCTCCTAAAATTTAGGATTAAAATGAAAATTAGAATTTCGCAAAGGGCAAAAATTGTTGAGTAATTTTTATTGAATATTTGTTTGTGGAGGTCTGGGGGGAGTGGATCGATGGGTGGGGGTGTTGGATAAGTCGTTGCCGTAGGCCCTCGACCCTCGCGAGGTCATGGAGTCATACCTGTCCGTTCAATATGTCCCTAGGATTTCGCCCTTAGTGTGTTATCAACAGTTTTCGATAGGGGGGAGTAAAATTCTCGGGGATATTTCCGCTCTCATCTGAGGAGTCCAAGTATTGATCTACCCTCGTCCCCTCCACCGGCACTCCGGGTGGGAGGAAAACCTCCGGGTGACGAGAGGGCAAATTCTCCTCTGATTCATGCCCACACGTGTGGATACTCGTGAAAACAAACCGATGATCCTATTTCTTTCAACAAGACCCTCTCAATTTTCCAATTGTTATGAATTTTTTCGAAAAACCGATGACTAAGTGATTGAACTCAGGATTTAATTCGCGAATTTTTCCAACTATTCATGAATAACTCGAAATTGCACGTCAACTGGAAATTAATCCAGTGGATATATAACACCGTCTCCTGGAGAATTGATTATTAATTATTAATTTGAGAGGGAAATTTCTGGAAAAAGTAGAGATTCGATTGATCTGAGTCACTGATTCACACTGAGACAATTGTTTAATCTGGAAAATTTTCGAGAATACGTTGGTATTTCTCCCGTTGAATATTTCTGCCTGATGAATATTTCATACCTCACAGCAAACGCGTATGACTAATTCCCGCAATTAATTCCCGATGAAGAATTTCCTGAGTTCGTTGGCACAATGCCGCTATCCTCATCATCATGATCGATAAAATTACCTCGATTATGTCAGTTGTCAGTTCTCAGTGAAACCTGCATAACGCAACGCGACACGTCTCGAGGAAAAACCGAGTAGTTGAAATAAAAGAAAAAATATGGAAAACCATTATCCACGTCCTCGCTCGACATCTTTGCACATGCAGATAATCCCCTCCCACTATTTAATTACTATTTATGAACGCCGTTAAACCGAAGAATATGAACTGATCGTGTTTACGTATTTCCCTGTTCAAAATGAATTGGTCAAAAAATCAAAGACATTATCGCACTTTTTTTATTGTGGTTGAACATTTGAATGCAATTGCGAAGTAAATTTTCTCGTCTTACGAGTCAAAGAACTCCAGATGTGAGACATTGCCTCGAGGAACAGCAGATTTTCCTTCGTCGATGAGACATTCCGTTCGAGGAAGCATTTCCGTTTTTTTTCATCGGAGATCTCTCTCATACCTGGGTATATTCCATCATCAGGAGTCGTATAATAATCGTCCCCCTGTAAACATTACCTTTAGTCTACTTCGCAATATCAATCAGGAAGAATCAATCATGGTCGGTTATTGTGGACAAGTTTTTGAGAAGATTTGTGAGTTTTTGTTCAGTGAACTGTACAAATATTCCCGAAAAATGCGAAAGTGCCATGAAAATTCACTCTAGATCGAGTGAATTTTCATTTTTCTCTCGAGTTCCTCTGATTTTTTTTATCACTTCGAGGACAGAGTAATTGAGAAGCCTTGACCGTTCGTTAACAGCGCCAGCGTAATACCCGATTTTCATTAGCAAATGAAAAAACAATATGTTTAACACATTCGTCCGATTGTTGGACAGCTCGCAGAATGGACAATTTATTCGCACAGATGTGCGGCATTGTTCATAGTCGGTACCAGCCTTGGTATCATCCCTGGGACTTGGAGACAATTCATCTATTGTCCAAGGACCTCAATCGATCAATCGATCAATCGACCACATTTACCTCCAATTCTCCATGAAGGTTGATCGACTTTTTCAGTCGTTATTTATTTTTTTTATTGCACCTTTCTTCGATTTCCTTTCCCCTCGATAACGTCTAGTCATTGCCCTGTCAAATTGTAAAATCGAGAGAAAAAAAATTGACACGTGTGTTATGTGTATGCCACTGCCCACGTTTTTATGACCCATGAAATCAATTGGAGTCGGTCGGCTGATTTATTAAAATTCATTGGTTGTTTACAATGTGGAAATTCAAAGGGGAATTGTTGTTTGAAGGCACCTGAAGAGTCATCTGAGATGACTCCAGACCCGGCAGTATCGATTGCTCCGACGTTTATCGATCCATGTCAAGGACCCTGTTCTCTTTTCAAATAGATTAAACAGGATTATCCCAATTCCTCAATTTATTGCGTCTGAAAATTCCTTTTCAAGAATGTTCTACCTTCCATCAGAAATTTTTCAATGTTTTTTTTTGTTATTCGATAAATTGGCCATCGACTGACCCAAAAAAATATGTTTCCACATTTTATCATCACCCCATGGATCAAAAAAAAAATCTGAACGTACAATAATTTTCTAGTGTTTTTTCTGAGGTTTTATGAATTTTTGAAAATTACTGCACGATCCGGATATTGTGGGAGTAATTAAATAGTGATCAATCCGATCAAAAATTCATGGGAAAGCTGAAAAAATCGGTAATTTTAGCTGAAAAGGGACAGAACATTCTCAAGAGGAATTTATAGCAGAAATGCGGGCGCTCAATTTAATTGACACTTCAGTCCGCGGAATTAGTGCAGCTTTGGACGAAGTTATTTTAGGCTAGTGCGTGGGAGTCCACTGTATCAGTGAGTAAATTAATATAGTCGAGCTCGCTTGTGTTGGGTAATTGGGAAAAATTCAATTTGGGTGATTGACTTAATTAACCTAGCTGGGAAACCGGAGATTTCTGTTTACCATAAAAGTCGAAGCGACAGCTGAGGGAATTTACAGTTAAATAATTCTCCCAAAAAAGGTAATTGTGGGATTAATAATAATAACATGAATAATTGCGCGTAAAAAATTATTTTTCCCTCTGTAAACATCGAGATTTTGGTCCATTCGCTTTAAATAAAAATCTTGTAAACTCTTGTAGCGCGTAATTCTGTATTTTCACTAATGACTCATCTCTCATTGATCGTAGGGAAGGAAAAATTGAGTTGTTAGGAGTTGATTTAGAAACAGTGGAATACTGTGAACGCACATGAATAATTCACCCGAAGATGAGAAAAATGAGGAATAAAGGAACGAAATGTGCCAGTCAGAATCATCTGCCATTGATCCTCAGCTAATGAATACAAACTCATTTGAAATAATGTTTTTTCATTTCTCGTATGAATACGTACCGCGCACGAGTCTGTGTTGACTATTGTCTTTAACACGCCTTTTAAGGCGAGTATTCACACATGATTACTGCATATACGACAATTAATAGAGAGAACATGTCAAAAGTCTATGCACCTGGTGATATTTAAGGAAGATCCCGGACTCGGAGTATTTTATTTCCGTAGTACCTACCGGTGCCAGAGGAACATGTGTGGACAGCCATTGGTTTTGGAAAAATTGAGGTTTATCTATTGTTATTAATAAATTCCAATTCGACCTAGTAGTTGCGGAATAATATTTTTTATTCTGTTGATACTCATGATTTAATGAGCTACGCGCATCTGTGATGATTTTTAATTCTTCGGGATCGGGAAGATCAACGGAAAGATAAATAATTTATATAAACTATGAACTCTAACAATTGGTTATCTCAGGGAAGTCGAGGGCTATTCCATCGAAACTGTAAGATTATTTTAATCATGAGCAAATATACAAACAAAACAGCGTAGACTAAAAAAATTAATTTATCTCAAAGATTCTGGGAGAAATTTTTTTGACAGAATTTTGTCGGACAAGTGTGAAAAATGGAGGGAATTAAACCAATTTTATAATTTATAATAATACTTGAATGTTAATAATAATTTGATAATAATAAATATAATATTTCTGTGGCCATTCAATTTTTCCGAATGTGGAATTATTAAAAGCTGAATAATCCGTTTAATTGTCTATTTACCAAATATCAAGGTTAAATAAAAAATGAGTTCCCCACAATTTTCTTTGTTTAAAAATCCATCAACAAAAAAGTATCCAAGTACATTGAAGTCGAAATCTCCAACGTAAACAACCCCATAAATCGACATTCTAACATTGTGTCCAAATTCTGGCATTCCGAAATGAAAACGAATCAGTCTTTCCCCGAACAAAGGAAATGTGTTCGCCACCCGCCGGAAGCCTTTTTTTTGCTCGTGTAATAGTACTCGCACGTCCCATTGAAGTCCTCGAATTTCTCAAATCCCGAAGCCAAAAAAAAAAGTAACCTAAACACCCAAGACCATTAAAATTCATCAGAAAAAAAGTCAAAGTGTAAAAAAATGGAGAACAATGACCAGATTCATCTCGACACCCATACAATGTCTGTTTTTCTTAAAAATCCCCAAAAAATCAGCCGAGACTTCGACCTTTGCCCGAAGAATCCAAGTTCCCCAGTTTCCCCCCACTTATCCCAATCCCCCATCATCTAAATGCTGATTAAAGTCCGTACTAATACTGAGAAGGCATTCCGCGCAGTCTTCATTCACGGTAGCAGCGGGGTCCACCCCAGGTTGTTTATAAACAATCAAACAAGAACAACAGTATTCAAGTTAATACGATAATCCACTGTTCACCGATGTCGATGCGAAAGACTGACTCATTTGGGTCTGGAGAAAAAAAAAGGGGGGTGTAACGTTTGTAACGAGATCGATGAGATTTCTTGTTCAGTTCTTGGTGAACTGTCGTGGGCGAAACAGATCGCTAACAATCGAATCGAGGGAGAAATCAAATAAGTCCCTGAACAACCGATATGTTATTGTTGTTAAACTTTGATTGTTCAAATGGTGCGGAAAGTGTCACGCGTGGATAATTCGATCCCTCGTTGCATCGATAACGCAACAATCATCGCAATGCCTCTGACAGGTAAATCCATTCATTTGGATTAATCGCAAGTTCCGGTTAAAATCGATTAGTCGTTTTTTTTTTTTTCATATCTCGGTGTTGAGACTTGTTTCTTACGAGTGAATTATTTTTATCGATTTGCGGTTTATCGGGTAAACATCGCCAAACCCTTGTATGATTTAGATAGGAGAGGCGTCCCGGCACTGGCCCATATGCCCGTTTTGCTTGTCTACCTGGAAAACGCAATGTAATCGATAGATAAGGCACACTGAATTTTATTTGAATGCGTTAATATGTCGGTCGAAAACGTGATGATAGCGGACGATAATATCTGTGATTCACTTGAATTTTTTTTTCTCTATTTTATCATGAAAGAACGAGTTCAAGTGGCGAAAATCGGTGAAATGAAATCGGAAGTGAGTGGATGAATCAGGATTGTTATTACGGGATTATCACCGGAGTGAGATTTTTAGGGATTGGTTTGAAAAAACTTTCGCGATACGAAATTTCCGCACGAATATGAACGTTTTACGTGATATTTTGGAGAACTGAAATCTCTGCGAATCCGGAAAATGGGAATTTTTATCTTTATTGGCACGAAATTAGATTTTCCGTTAATCTTATTGAAATACGGTTTAGATTTCATAAATCCATTTCGCTGTCTGATAGTAAACATCGATTGTTTACAGTTGTGTTATCATTGCAAGTTACACTGTAAGATTCTGTGCACAGGGGAGAACGTGGGATGTCGTTTGGAGGCAGAAAGAACGTTTGGAATCCTGAGGAATCGATTGTACTCTAGGAGGATTATTCCATTGTCTGGTGGTGACGGGTTTAAAGTGATGTCCAGAGTGCCACTGATGCAGACAGCCCTGACAAGAGAAGATGAGAATCCCCGTAACAGAGTTATCCTCGAGGTGACGATGTTTTTATAAAAAAAAAACAGTGCAATTATTTGTCATCGGCGATTGCCCCGATTATAAAAAATATTTCAATTACAATTTTTTTAGCTGTCTGGGAAATTTGTCTCTCCACTTGTAATTTCGATTGTAATTATTAAATAATACCAATTACCCTGTGGAAATGTGTTAATTAGGTGGGTTTACCTGGAGACACTTGGAAATACAGTGTAGATCGTGAGAGTCTGGCGGAAAAATCGGAATGGTTCCGTGCGATGTTGGTGGGACCTTTTGCACCACCACCGAGTGATCCTCCACCCATCGTCGCCCTGCCTCATGTCGACAAACGAGCATTTGATAATCTCTTCAGTCACTTCCGCGGCGAACCGGTGAATTTTAGTGGTGTAGTTACCGCAAGGGCAACCCTCGATATTGCCCATTACTACCTGTGCCCGGAATTGGCTAGAATGGCGGTGGATTACCTCATAAAGAACCTCGACACATCCTCAGTACTTGCGGTCTACCATGGTCTTCATCTTTATGCACTTGGTACTGGCGATGTGGCACTTCACTCAGTACCCAGGGATGACGCCAATCAAATTGGTCAGTATCCGAAACGATCTCTATCATTTCTCAGTGATGAGTCCTTCTGCATTCTCAAAAAGTACTTGTGAATGGGTTTTGAATAAAAATTTCCTCACAAAAAATTTCCTCCGCATAATTATCGACAAAAGAAAATCCTGAAGAATTAATTATAAATCAATTATAAATCCTAAAATAATTGATAATAGATAAAAGCATAATTATTATCTAGAAACCGGCTTGAATGAAATGATCAAGTGAAATTTTGTAGGGGCAATGATTTTTGCGGGAAATCTCATGCGAGGAAATTTTTTTTGGGAATTTTTTTTTTGGGAAAATATTTCGTAGGAGAAAGACCACCCAAAAAAATTGGGGAAATTCGGGGGTAATAAATCGTTAATTTTGTTGAGCAGCAGTGGCATGCACCCGGTTATTGATCGCTTGTCTGGGTGTAATCGACGGTGCTCCAGACGAAGTGCTCCGTCAAGAGGCCTTCGAGGAGTTGAGCATACAAGAAGTTGCAAATCTAGCTCGGAGGGACGATCTCAAGCTCACCAAGGAGAGTGTTTTATTCACAGCTTTGGACAAATGGGCGGCATCCGACTGTCGAAGACGTGGAGTGGACCCCAATGTCTCTAATAAAAGACATGCACTGAGTGATGATGTCTGGTACAGTGTCAGGTACCTTCTCATGGATGATAAAGAATTCATTGAAGGACCCATGGCTAGTGGACTTCTCACCAGTTCAGAGTCCGCTATTATTGTTGCAAGGATTCTTGGGCATCAACAACAACGTAAAACTGACACGGTAAATCAAATAGGTTTATTTCCGTGACTCAATTCGAATGATAAAATAAATGATTCTCTTGAAATTAACGAAATTGAAGAAGAAAATTTTTAGACACAATTGCTGAATAATTAATTTCATATGATTTTTTTTTATGGCTGCAGTATCAGAGTGAAAACGTTCCTCTCCAGCTATCCACAACTCCGAGAAGACGCAAATCCCCGTCGAAAAAAAACCCAGTGAAAAATAAATCAAAAAATTCGGGCATGAAACCTGGTAAAGAGGAATGCGAGGACAACAAAAAAAATCGTAGAAAAGAGTGCGCTAGTCAGAGCCAACGCGTTTGTTCGCGGGTTGGAGATTTGGTTGTTCGTGTTCTCGCCTGTGTTTTTGACTGAAAAATAATTTATCTATAGAATAATTGTTCCATTAGTCGAATCATTGGTTTTGTTTCAGTGGAGCCATTTTTTTGCAGACTGATGGTCTCGACATGATTTAACTAATTGATTTTACATATACGACATTTTATCACTGTTGATCTCAAGAGAGACTTAGAGCAATTCTCGTTGATTAATTCATTGCCACCGATTTTATAACAAAATGTTTTTAATGTTTTTATACGATGATAATTGCTGCCAGATTTATTCTCGCGCAATTCTTTTTTTATGTTCATTATGACTTTTAAGAGCCGAGCGCTGTGACCTATAGTCTATTTGTATTGTTTTCTATTTTTTTTTTTAGGGAAAATTGATAATTATATTTTTTGGATCATCATTCGTGATTGAGAAGTGAGAGACTTGCGTGAGTTGCAAAATCATTAATCAATATTGCATAGATATATTTTTATTATGACGTTACCGATAAAATTTCTCTCTTTCAATCGATTTATTATTCCATGATTAATCGGTTCGAGTTTCATAATTAATTATGGACTACGCCCAATATTTCCAGCTACCGTGCAATCAAAATGATTTATTTTACCCCCAAATGCAGTGTTCGCAAATTTATTTAAACCATGCAAGTTCCTTATTTGTTTTGATGTTCTTTTACTAAATGGATTGTATGTTAAATGTTGATATTACGCAATCAGTTCGTTGTGTTCCTGGTTGTCAAGAGTATAACAATGTTTAAACTTTGAAGTGAAAGTGAAATAGAATCAATTAAGATAAAGTCTCCTCGAATTGATTGAATTTCACTGTTAGATAAATTTGAGCATGGATTTGAATAGAGAGATGTAAATTGATGGATCTATGTACAATAAATGAATACAAATTAATCTAATCATATGTTTATATTTTCTGCTCCAAATATTTTTTTTAATCCATAAAATATAAAAATTTGAGTTAAAAAGTCAAAATGTGGGTTCTCAATGAATGAATTATTGTCAAAACAATTTATTTCCCGCCGTACGATAAAGAAGAACTCGGCCATTACAGCTCTAGGAAAGGAAGTACTTCCCATAATAATCGTTTTATTGCCCCTACTGTAGAATTTGAGACAAATTCGAAATCATAAAAACCAATTTCCATGGATTTCTCAAGCTAGTCCATTTACTATCATTAGAACTGCTGAAAGAAAATGTTAATGTGTCTCGCTGGAAAGAATATCCAGTAAATAGCAGAGGTAATCGGTCTGGGTCAGGCAGACAGGTAATAAACTGACTCACTGGCCCATTTACTGAAGTTCAAGGGGTAGAGCCTCACTTAGCTCACGTTCACCAATCAAACGTGAGAAACGATTTCTTAAATACCATCGCAAATTTTTCGGATGGTCATTTCCAATTTTTATTTGGAAGCGAACGTATCTCATCATAATCATTGATCACTGAATTATTTGAGTTGAATATGTTCTCCATTCCGGGAGTTTTTGCTGTTCTGATTATGTGGGCATTTCCGGTAATTCGCGGTTCAATGTTTATTGTGACGAAGGATTTGTGCGAAGATCGAGTTACTGAGTGTTTGATGTCCTCGAATGAACACACACCTGTTTGCGGTACTGATGGGATTACGTACTCTTCGTATTGCCAATTGATTTCGAAACAGTGCAAAGGAGAGTCCGTCCTTGTTAATTATGTCGGATCATGCATTGGTAAGGCTTAAATGCAATTAAATTAAAATTTCCCGATACGAGTACTTCGAGATTTGGCTGTGGAGAATATTCCCATATTTTTATATCTTCCTGAAATTATACGGAAATACCACCGATTGATTGGATTACGAATTTATTTCGTGGCGCTTTCGATTTCGCAATAATTACAGAAATTGAATTGAAAATTTAAATCTCATTAAATTCAGACATTGAATATTATCCTCCATTATTGAATATAATGAATATAGATATATAATATATTCATCCCTTCATTTCTTCTGTCACCGAAAAAAAATTCCGTGTCGGTAATTCGATAAATGCATTTCCACAATCTAGATTGAATTGAGCACCGAGATGTTCAAGAGTGCAGTAATCATTTCTGTTGCATTTCAGACACCTCCCCATGTACCTCTGCCCTTCGGAATGGTCCTCTGCACGAGCAGCCGACCTGCAACCCAGACGGCACCTTCGCACGAATCCAGTGTCACCTTCCATCGAGCTATTGCTGGTGCGTAACCCCATCAGGAGTTCGTCTGCAAAACACCCTGACCCAGTACAAAAAACCCAACTGCCCGCCTCTTCACCCCGTTCTCCACCCGTCGACCCCATCTCCACCGATAACGCTATCAAAACGCGAGGACCCGCCCCAAATGGCCTCACCGACGCCAAATCACCACCCCCGCTGGTATTGCTCCAAGAAGAATCACCTCCAATTCGCCAAGAACTTGGTGAAAACCTTCGAGATAGAGTACAATCGCACCATATCCTCCACAACCACGATAACCCTCGAGAGCATCATCACCTGGAAGTTTAATCTCCTGGATATAAACAGAGACGGTCATTTAGATAAACGAGAGTACGAGGGATTAGTGAGATTAGCCGAGAAGGGTGTGATGCCGAAGAAATGTGCAAGATCGTTGCCAAGAATGTGCGACATGATCAGAGACATGAGGATATCATTGAGTGAGTGGATTGTCTGCTTGACAAATAATTCGACGGAATCATTGGGTCGAGTCACCCTGGGGAGGGCGGGTGGTCTCTTGAGCGAGGTTGGTGAGAGCCCCGAGGGCGAAGGAGATAATGGTCATGATGATTGTCCGGTAAAACATTTGCAGGCGCTCAAGTACCAGCAGGAGACGTCGCAGACCCATTTGTACATACCTGAGTGCAATCAGGCGGGGCTGTATCAGTCTGTTCAGTGTTACTCTGGTTATTGTTGGTGTGTTAATGAGAATACTGGAGTCCCAATAACTGGGACTTTTTTGAAGGGGGCGAGACCCGATTGTAAAACCGATTTTCGGGTGGTGAGGACGATGAAGGGCTGCGGAAGGGGCAAGCTGGAAGATCTTATCGAGAAGATGATCAGGGCGATGAAGCGGAGGATGGAGAGTGATGGAGGACATCCAATGGTGGAGGGAGCGGGAAGGGGAAGGGGATCGGTGAATGTAAGGAGAAATGCAACGGAAAATGCAACGGGGAATGAAACTGGGAAGGACTTCAAAAAGAATGAGGAGGAAAGGGCTGCCACGTGGACCTTCTTCTCGTTGGATCTGAATAAGAATAAGGTTTTACAGAGGGGTAAGGAGTGGAAGAGCATCAGGATGATGCTTCCTGAGAATCGGTGCGCTAAAAAGCTCCCGAGGTTCTGTGATACCAATGATGATCAGAGGATCTCTCTCGATGAGTGGCTCGGGTGTCTCAATATTAAGGCTCCGGATTCTGCCCTGGAGCACGTCATTTCCGTGACGATGCTCCCTAGTTAATGAGAAGATCAACTCGTTCATAATTATTGGAAAATATAGACTCAGTTACCAAACGATCTAGTGGCGGCGCTTTCGAAGCGAAAAGAATTGTATATTTTTATGGATTATTTCTTAATGAATTTATGGAAAAATTTATCAATCTTTGTTTTACGATAATTGTTCGGAGTACAAAGTAAGCTTTAGATATTGTGTTTTTAAATTACGTGAGTTGATGAATTTGAATAATTGAAATAATTTTTATAATTCTAAGTGATGTCCTGTTTTTATGAATACATTTACAGAATTGGGATCATCAATTGATGAATATTATTTTGTATTATTTTTATTTTTTTTAAGGAGTAACGGAGAATTTTTGAGAATGAAATTGTATAAATACCGATATGAGATAAGATGTGAGGAGAATTGTTTCTTCAGTGCCGAACGCCGCGAATCGGAGGGGATTATTATCTTCTGATGATAAGGTAAAGTGCCTCTCTGGAATTAATGTGATTTTGTATTTTATTTTTATAATAAAAACTGACATTTATGATCAATACAACAATTAATATACTATAATATAATTTTCCTAATTAGATAAAATCAATGAACTATTGATCATGAGTATTCAACAACCAGGCGCTTCTAAAAAATAACTGTGACAACTACTAGAATATAATATACAATTGGACCTGTAAAAATAATGATTTCCCCCTTTAAAAATTAAATGACTTGAGCCTTCAATCCTGTTATGAAAAAGAAAAATTACTACAAACTCTGGAAAGTAATTATTCAATTTTCGGATAAAATATTCATTGAAAAAATATTTCGAATGTCCAATGAAAATCAGGAAAAACCAGAAAGGACTGAAATTTTCAAAAGAATTCCAATTTTGTGGCACAAGCGTCGGGTTATTATTCTATTATATTTCCAAATATCTGAAAATATCCGTTTTTTTTATCCAGTGATAGGTGTGATGGTAGTGGTTCGCCTGGCATACGAGAGAAGCTCGGAGGGTTTATCTCCAAGATGCTTCTTCAACCAATTTTCGATGACAGGTACATTTCTCTCATTCCACTTGGACTCTTGGTCAATATCCTGGAGGACTTTATTCATCAACGACTCAGCAGTATCAAATTCCTTCTGTTTAGACGCATACCATTCAGAAACCATCTCGTAGTCCTCTTGAGTACTGAACGATGACGTCGCTGAATTGACAATTCTATTCCAAAGATGTTTCTTGTTCTCAAATCTCAGTTTAACCGTGTCCCAATGGTCGACGAGAAAATCGAATAGAGTTGAATAACCCGTTGCACTGCCAGTGAGAGTACTGAAGACAAGGTGAATATCCGAGTCGGAGAAGTTTGAGTTTTTGTCGAGAATTGTGACATTCAGGAGGCGTTCAATCTTCTCCTTGTCCACTGGGCAACCAGCCAGTGTCTTCAATAGATACGTTCTTTCGCTCTGCTTTCTTTCCATTGTTTTCTGGGGGAAATTTATCACGCGTTGCAGACCAAATTCCCAATCGTCCATTGTACCCCATCGAAATACGGGACAGAGAAATTCATTGGCGACACTGAAAAAAAATTTTATTGAATTTTATTTTATTTTATTCAAATTGAGGGATCAATCAATTCACTCAGAGACAGACCTGCCAAAGCTGAATAGGACTGATGGATATTTTTGAGAGTTCACGCTTTTGATTATTATTTTCCGAGGATGATAAATGTTAGTCGTGTGAAAGATTCATCAATTTTTTAAATACGTACGGATTTCCTTCATCAGGCTGATCATCCTTGGTCCATTTTCTGTATTGCGCCTCGGCTTCTTCGACACAAGGTACGTATCCAGCTCGGCACAAAAAGTTTTTCACGAGACCTCTCATGTGAACTTTCCACGATGGCTCGTTCTGCTGTGGAACCTCACCCAATTGATATTTGTAGAGTGGCTGAAGAAGACTGAAGATATACGCCTGCATAAAAGGTAAACAGAACCAAAAATATATCCCAATAAGAATGCCCAAGATATCGATTCAACAGCTCCATCGAATTACGTATCAGACTGTGAATATCGCTGTCCCCCTCGAAATGAGCGTTTAAATCGAAGATAATATCGTTTACCGGTGGAATTTTTAATTTTTATGGAATATCACTTCATTGATTTCTTGCAGGAGCAATTTCTCACCTCAAATTTCGCATAGACACCCTCGGATCCTTGTATCCTTCTCCCAACATGATCGATCATCGTGAAGAATGGCTCCCAAACAACATGACTCGTTTCATTCTTCAAAAAGAGCGTCATATTAAAAGCAACTTCAAAGCAAAAATCTCCAGCGTACGCCATGTTCCAGGCATCGTGCAGCAATTTGGCCCTCGTCAAAACTGGAATAGTTTCCCTGTGGGGTCCTTGCAGAAATTGACTCAGCATTTGCCAATTGCATATATCATAGTTGACCGGGAACATACCTGTTACACAAATACCATTGTAAGTAAACAGGCGAATTCAGCCGTGACAGAATCATTGCATTGAACTGGAATACCAATCTCTTCTGGATTTACGATAACGAATTTGTCTTTATCAGCAGTGTCATTCATAGTAACACGAGATTCGCTCTTCGTCAGCCAAAATTCGGTCTTCAAATCTTTGAAGTTCAGCTTCTCCTGATTTATCATTACGATGGGAATGTCCCATAGGTAAGACATTTTTTCGTTTGACGGTGGAGCGGCTTCGCGTAAGTAAACGCTCTGTAATTAAATGATGAAAAGATGAAACTTTTTGCCATTATTTTCATTATGATGATGATGGAAGGTTTATAAGAATTTAATGACAGAATCTGCAGGATAAGCTTCACGCAAATTATCCTCTCGGCACATCAGCACTGAATTAAAGTCGTTAAACGAGTGATAATGTATGTTACCTTGAAAAAATAATACTGCAACATCATCACATTTATCATCAATTTCAAGGCTTCGCATCATGAAAGCGTGAAATCTATTGCATTTCGAATATTTATTTCAGGATTACAATGAAATAATTTATGTGTTCATTAGATTTATTGATTAGAATTCCATTTTAATAAATCACAGTTAAGATAATTGAGTGAATAGTCTGATAATAAATTTTCGCCAAATGAATTTCCGGAGTAATTAGCGGTTAACGAAAATGTCACTGAAGCTGAAAAATTTCGCAAAGATTGCGTTCGGAAGTAAACACGAAATAATGTTTTTTGCCTTGGGAAACGACAATGCCACAGCATCATCAACGATTTTTACCTGTGTGAAGGTGATTTTTCCGGTTTCGTAATCCCTCGTTACCGTTACCAGTGGCACACGGTCACGATGCATCCATAGACCGGCAATACTGCTTATTGTCAGATTATCTGGGAGAGTTACATTGTTATCTTCTCGGACTGTATCGAGATGAGTGAAGATATCATTGGCATAAAAGCTCCCGCTATCAGAGTCAATAAATAAATAAATAAACAATTAATGAGGGGACACGTAAATTTCGAGTGGCGGAAAGTCAAGGCTGATTTATCAGATTTTGAAGATTCTAAATTAATTCACCCGAAAAGAAGAATATTATTTTTAAGACAGAAATTGTAATGAAATGTGGAAGAGGTACTGGTTAAAAAATAATCTGGGGAATTTCCACTTATAATTTTGAAAAATTTTCATTTTGTTCTGAAAAAATAAACGAATAAACGGATGTGTAACAGAAGAATCATTACTTTTTTGATGATTCATAGATAAACCTCTGCACTCCCTTCCTGAAAATTTCTTCTCCCAACGTGTAGTTGAACATGCGGAATACGAGTTCAGCTGTGGAAAATAGCAGTGATTTAAAAAAACCTCAAGCAACACGATTGACTGACCAGGAAGATACAGAAATTACAAGTTACCGTAATGCTGAGTCCTCAACGTTTGCCAGAGTGCGATAATAACAGCGATAAACGAGAGAAAAAAAAAACCGAAACGCAAGGCTCACAGCACTGAACATTCTTTACACGTGCATAATCATGATTGACCATTGAAGTTTATTGAATTTTTACTCACTCTTAGCGGAAGCAGCTTCGTGCCTTATACCAGCAACTCTGGCGAATGGAAATGTTTTGCCAAATTCGTAAAAGAGTGAGTAGAGCAAGGTCATTGGCCACTTGCCCTCCATCTCATTGGGATCGATCTGGCCGAAATAAAATGGAATGAAAAAAAAAACAGAATCGGATAGCTTCAGGAGAAGAATCTCACCCTCTGATAATTAATTGCAAACAACATGCTAAATATGAAAATCCTACATCAACCGTTGTTTTCGAAGCGAGGAATGAATTCAGTGCCTTATTGACTTGTGCATCGCTCCAACGAAAAGGAGTTATTCTCTGACCAATCCATTGATATATCAATTCATATGCAGTATTCCACACTAGAGAACTGCTCAGCTCACTCTCCCTAAGATTAATTATAACACATTCTAAAATTAATCAGGACATTTGCAATTATTTTCTCTTGATTTCTCCAATCACTCTAGGTAAAACAAACAACCGGAGAAAATAAAGTGAGAAAATCAAGGGAGAAAGCATAACGACTGATAATGAAATAAATATACTTGAAGAACATGAGGCCCCAGTTATCGGAAGCCTTGGTGGCTGTGTACATGGGCATCGCCACGACATCGAGTTTGGCAAGACCAATGGAGATATTGAAGTAATTCTGCAGGTAGTTGACAATTGTCACGATTTTATTGGGTACTTTTGACAGCGTACTCAGATAGTCTCTTCTACCCCAGACTTTAATATCCAGAGGTGTGCGAGCCTCGGTGGGATTCAATGATCTCGTTGGAGATATGCTCTCAAAATCAGATATCATGAATGCCAGTTGGTACGTTGACATTTCTGGTGTTATTTCAAAAACATCCTTCATCAAAGTCGAATCGCTGGGCCTTAAGAACAATTTATCTTATCAGGATCTTATAATCATGTTGGTTTGGTCGGTGATGATTGGAGGAATGACAAACTCACAGTTCAATGGAATAGTTGAGGGCTGTATTGGATCTGGCGATCATCTTCTTCGGTCTGATTACACTCAGTTCGAATTTTGTTTTGTACTCGGGCTCATCGAAACAGGGGAACAATCGTCTTGCATTGTTGAGCCTCAGATGTGTCCCGATGAATGTGCTGACAATTGTACGTCGTTTGAACGATTGTATGTTTCAAATTATTAGCAATTCAACCCTGAACTAACCTACCGGGGAGCGGATCTCTACTCTAGCCTAGTCTATGTTTAATAAATCGTTTTAAATTCATTTTTTGGTAAACTTACTGCTCCTGGGCTTGAGTGTCTAGGTATGAGTTCATAAAAATACCGGTACTCTCCGTGGATGTTATGTTTCCGGTGTAGGTCAGGTTCAGCTCACATTTATCACCAGGTTCAAACCAGTGGTCCAGGTCCACGTCGTATTCGGATTTCTGGCAATTGTGTTTGCTTCGACCGATTTTCACTGGCTCCCAGGTGTTCCTGCACATTTTATTGTTTTGCCTTCGATATTTCACATGAATGATTCAGGAATTTAATATATTTTTTTATTTCTAGTTTTCTGTGCGTTTTAAGTATTCATCATACATTTTCTTCAAGGTATTTTTTTCAGTGGAATTATTTCGTGAACATTGATTGGAATATATGGCATAGGGAAAATGGAAATTCAATTTTTCTCTTGAAACGAGTAAAACATATACTGTCGGAAAATTACACTTGAATTTTCAAGTAAAAAATTGGGATTTTCAATTAATAAAAATTGGTGAATGATTTCTTATTATCCATGTTCGGATCGGAAAATACTGAAAATTCAGGAAATAACTTCCCGAAATTCTGCATCTCTTAAAAATTCAGGCTATTATTAAAAAATCGATTACCCGTCAACATAAAAATCCCCATAATCTTGAATTTTCATAATTTAATGAGGAATTCAGCGATAATTTTCAATTGAAATAAAATTCAGATGACTGCGACGGAAATTTGAAAAGATTTTTAACCGTGTATTTTTCAGGGAAATTAAACCGAAATTTTTGAACTGTAAAAGTTAACGGTCTTAATCGGTTAGAATATTACTCACGTGTTATTGATATACAAACACTTGGCAGTGACATCAGTGATATTGAGATCTGCATGTGCATCAAGCCTAATCCGTACACCTATGTCTAACCAGACAACAACGATAGCAACACGCCCCTGGAATTTTCCAGTTTTCGTCGACGGATGAATTTCCAACTGGTAACTAATGGGCTTAACATTCCTCGGTGTTCTGAACGACGGCACCTCCAGGATATCATTGAAATCGATGCTCCTCTTCGATTTACTTCCATTCTTCATCGAGCATCGAGAACATTCCTGTAATTAATTATCATCCAGACAGGTATCCACAATAACAATCGATGCCAACATCCCATATTTTTGGAGATCACGTGAAATTAAAATAGTAATCAAATACTTAATCATTTGTTAATAAATAAATATTTGAAAATTAGAATTCTCTCCAGCATCCGAATGTTGAAAGGATAAATAAAAAAAGATATTTTCTACAGGATTGTATCGTAGAAAGAGAACCAAGAACTTCCCACCACTTCGGTGCTCAATGATTTTGAAATAATTTTTTTTTTTTCATATTTTTTATGATATTCTTACTTTGGGATGAGCATCGGAGGCGATAATTGCAGCACAAAGAATCAGAGAGGCTACCAGCCTCATATTGCCGTCACTTTTCCCTCACTGATTGAATCGAAAATAAAAATTCAACGAACCGTCGATCTCAATCACAGATGATCATGAAAAAAAATATCAATTACTCCCTCGTAAATTCAGGTGATTCTCTTGGTGTGATAAAATGATAACCGTGATAGCACGTAGCTCTCGGTCAACTGGACAATCCGTCTCTCAATCCTTCCTTGGGATAGATTAATTTGAAAAAAAAAATTTATTTGATCAAAATAAAGGCACCTCGTGACCGGTCGTGGCTTGTGAAGCTTAAGCACCGATTGGCCCTCAACCAATTTATCATGAATCTAGTAATAGCCTCACGCTTGTGGTACAAAATTGTCACGATTATCCAATTGGCAACTTTGCCTACGTCAATCGTTCAATTCGGTGTCACTGGTGCACAGGAAAAAAAATGTAATTAGGGTAGGGGGAACCCCAATGAATCCCCGGTAAATAGGACGACATGAACTACTGTCGACATTTTCATTCTTTCTTATTAAATCTCGAGAAGGGGAATTCAACGGAAACTGCTGGCTATCCTGTGATTTTCTACAATTATATATTGTAAGTTTTCCAGGATGTTCATGAAACATTTATTACCATGGTCTTCATTCCATTTGATTTACATAATTGCAAACTACTATTTTATTTTAATCCCACGATTATTTTGTATTTTTGTATTTCCTGAGGAGTCGTCCCTTCCTTAATTAATTAAATAAATTTATATCATATTCATATGTATTTTTTTTTTTGCGAAAGATGAGGGAATTGGGAATAATTAGAAATGAATAATTCGATGTTTTGCGTTTTTTTTTTGGAGGCTCTTTCATCCATTAAAATTTTAATTTCGCGACAATAGACGCACATAACACCTCGGCCCGACGTTAAAACGAAGATTATTTGTTGCATTTGTGTAATGGCGATTGGGAGGGGGAGGTCATAACACTGGACGTCGAATGAACCAACATGAAGCCTACTGACCACAGGTGGAAATACTGGCTAATTGCGCTCTACCTGTCAGACAATTGCGTAGGTGATTCCTTGTGGTTGTGGGCTCGTCTCCACAGTGTAATACATGTGCATTTTCCACGGCTACAGTGGGGCAACCGTTAAAAGTGAATTTTAATCTCATTATAAGATTGTTCCTAGTGCCATCCCTCGGGATTAGCATTACACATGAGGCGAGGCTCGGTGAGCACTTGGGAGCCATGGGCCCGACGAAATTGTAAGTTGTTAATTCCTTGGGTTTTTCCCTCCACGAGAACTATTCTCTGCGTTATTTTTAAATCCTTCATCCTCAGTCTGAAATTTTCATTTAGCATCGAAATTTCAGGAAATCTTGGAAGGAAAATCTCAAATATTCATTTTTGTTTTCGCATCTGGAAGTTAATTAAACTCACGGTTTTTTCATTAAGTCATTTCCTCATTTCAGTTCAACCCTGAAAAATGAGAAAATTGTTCCTGAACGTTTATGTAACATTGAAAATTCAATAAAGTGATATTTTCATTTCATTCCGCGTGAAAACTCATAAATACTCTAGAATTTAATAAATTTAATCTCATAAATATTCGTAATTATTCATTTATTTATTCATTGAATGTTTCTCTCAATAATTCAGGAGATGATACTAAACAAATGGTTAATTATTAACTTTTATTACTGTTAGTGCTTTATTATAACTATTGCTGTTAATTAATGGGGATATATTTTTAATTTCCTCTCATTCCACGGAGATCCGAAAAAGAAATCGAGTCATGGTCAAATCAACTGCAAATCATAAGTGCGACGTCGATTAGCATCGTACACAAAATTGAGAGCAATTTATGTACTTGAATAATGAGGCACAAAACACCGAAAAAATGGGGTTAATATTGAGGGGAAAAAATGGGTGTTATCGAGAGCGATTATGCACGGCAATTATAATTCCCCGGGTTATAAACCCACTTTCCAACGCCGCGATAATAGTATCGATGGAGTCAATGGATTAAAAAAATTATTTAAAATTCGTTCATAATGAATTATTAATGAATTATTCCTTTGGGGCTTCATTAATTTACGGTTGTATGCACCTGCGGAGGATTTGAAATTTGAAGTACATGAAGTAATTGGAAAGTGTAGGAAATAAAAAAAAGGAGTTTGATTCGTTTTTATGCACGGTTCCGGTTTTTCTTCTTTATTATGCAACAGTGTGTAGTGGAATAAGGTCGGCTTTATCATTTGAGTAGTATCATAATCTAAAACTGTTTTACAATACATAAAAAAGTTCTGCTATCCGAGTTCCGGCGTGCGGTAAAGTGTAAGAGAGGAGGAATTCCAAAACAATTCTGGGGAGAATAGTTTACGAGATGGTCCTCCGAGGTTTTTTCTGGACACAGGATTTTTGAAGGTATTCCTTGAATAATGAAGGGAATGTTTACTCGATATGTTTTTATTATCATATTTTTTATTATTAGCCACTAAACTAGATTGTAAAATGAAATTGAAATTTCATGGACGGGTTAGCAATTATTTGCAGGGGGAAGATTTTTCATTTTTCCAATGCATACTTCTCAATTTTAATTCACAATTGACATGTGAATTTTTTGTCACTTAAGAAAAATCATTAACCATCTTGCGGACAAGTTTTATTATTTATTCACATTTTTTTTCAATCCATAAACGGTTGTTCAGAAATGTTTCGTTAATTAGACAAAATATTTTGATCACAATTTTTTTCTACACTTGGGCGTTAATAAAAAGTGTTATCCAGGACTTGACCGTAGTATTATCGGATCTCCTGTATCTCTGAAGAACAATGTAGCTTCTCACGGTTCCCTGGTCACGCTCATCCACCTCCATCATTGAGCACCGCAATTGTGTTATAAATTCACATACGAATTGAATATTCGAATTGTTTGAGTTGAGGTAAAAAAAGGTGATTACCAGAGTCTGAGGCCACAGTGTATGCAACTGGAGTTATGGCACACACTCGTGTTCAGTCTCGTTATCGACCAGCTTCGTGAAATAATCGTTTGTCCCTGGAATTCCTCATCTCTCACGACAAAAAATAAGAGCATAAAACAGCTATAAACCAAAATCGTCAATACTCACAGATGTTTTATGCATTAAAATCAAGCAATCTTATGTTATCCTCTTCATTATCGGATAAATAAACAGAGAGTAATTAATCATTCCGATCGATTTTTTTACCTCGAGTTATTGGTTTTCATTTTTTTGCATTCATTTCACTTTCAGCAGCCAATATGGCACAATTTGCATCGAGCCGGCAAGAGTTTATGACTAGTGAACCTGGATTGAATGGTATTGAGTATCAAAGAGGCGGCGGTTATTTCTTGTCTCATAAGAAAATCGCTATCTTTATTACTGTGATTTTTCTATCTCTGGTGGCTGTTGGATTTATTGGCGCCTATGCGGGGGCTATTCCTCAGAAGAAGGTCAGTTGCATGTGGTCCAATCTTATTCTTTTTAAATATCCATCAATTAAAAATCAATGCTTCAACAAACTGAAGATGATTATGTGAGTTCAAATTAAATTTTAATTTCAATTCTCGATAATCATGAGTATTCAAAAAAATTGGGGTTTTATATTAAATGGGAATTGATTTTTCAACGCATCAACTTTTATTTAACTTCAATGCAAAAGAAATTAAAAAGTGTGTATTTTTAGTAGTGCAGTAGAATCCGATTAACGCAGATTTTTTCGCTTCTCCATTTCTCAATGAATCTGGAATTCATGGGATTTTTTTTCTCTTGAAATTGATCCCTCAATTTCAAAGATGATTAACAATTTTTTCTCTGACAGAAAATACTCGGCTGTTCCCAATAAATGTTTCGGATTTATGGGATTTCCTCCTTGAAATCCCTCAATTTCAGAAATAATTCTTTCTCTCCAAAAAAATAAATCGAAATATCACCTTCAGCCACTTCGATATCAAATTAGATTAACTCGATTGTTCAAAACAATGAAATACGAATATTGAGAGAAATTTTATTCAACCTCTATTCAACCTGAATTTTCATACTCACCGTAAAAATTCACCAATAAATACAATGGAATTTTTAATTGATTGAAAAGTCAAGGAAATGATCGATTGAATTTTCAATTCAGTTGGCGGTTGTTCCAATTAATTGATTCGGCGATGAAAAATTCTATAGAAATTTCAAGTTCGAAGAAAACTGACATTAACTGGAAAACTGATCAATATTTTTTGTTTATTTATGAAGGTGTTCGATGCAACAGCATTGATCGCGGAAGACGAAGGCTCGGAGCCGGCGGATGCTGATAAATATTCCCTGTCATCCGAAATATTTCCCCTTCGATATCATATCGATTTGACGCCAATTCCCACCGACAATGGTGTCTCGGTGGTGGGTCACGTCATTGTGCAGTTTCATTACAATGGTTCAGCTAGTTTAGATCAAATTGTTCTGAGTGCCAAGAGCATGAGCATTACCAGAATGAGATTAGTAGCTGATAATACTGAAAATGAGGATAAAGAGAAGAGGAAAAAGAGAGAGGATAACGTGAAATTTCCTGAATCTGAGTTCCTCGGAAATGGTAACGATTGCGGCTAAATGTCCCAGTTTATGTTTCAATTACGCGTGAAAGAAATTTTATTCCCAAATTGTCCCACTATTTCGGTAGTGGAGTCATACAATTTGCAATATTCAAGCGAAAAATACAGAAGCCACCGGTGATGTTATTGATAAAAATCGTCAGCTTTTCTGTGGATTTTTCGGATACAAACATTTGATAGACCGAGAAAATCCAGATTAATGAAATTCAGTTCAAGATTATTAATCAATAATTTTTTTTCTCAAACTCTAATTTTCTCCTGCAATTAATTAGGAACAAAAATAACTGATATTGACATCAGTAAAAATGAAATGGATAACGAGCACGGAATCTTAAGAACTCATCTACCAAGAGGGATAAAGAAGGGAGTTTATGCCCTGGAAATAGATTACAAAGCTCTGGTCGATAATCGTACCCTCCGCGTAGCAAATTTCAGCGATGAAAGTAGCGACAGGTGAGTGATTAATCCAGTTTACTGTTTAAAGCCTCTGATTTTCTCACCAGCTAATCCCCTTTGTCCTCTTGTACTTTTTTCCCCTGAAGATGGCTGATGGCGAGTCGATTAAAACCTGTCAATGCACGTCGACTCTTTCCGTTGTTCGATGATGTGAGATTGAAAGCTAAATTCGTACTGTCCGTTGCACACGCCGAGGATATTGCTGTCTTGTCAAATACTCCAGTGAAGTACAGAACTACTTCGTAAGTGGAAGAAACCAATAAGCGAAACGGAAATTGATAACAAAAATTAATTGACATGAATTACTCCATTTTCGTCCCAAAGTTCTGTTACGAATTTATTCTGAAAGTCTAGATTATTCCCAGACATTTCTATTTTCTATTTTCTCATTTTTTACTACAATTATATTAATCAAACAAATTTTCATTTTGTGTGAATTCCATTTAAATCTGTAGCTTCAGGAATTTATATGCAATAATTACACGAATTGCGAAAAATTTATCGCAGAATGGAGGAGATAAGATACAAAAAATTATGAAATTTCAGTTTGAATTGGCGGCATTAGAAGCTGCAACTTCTTTGTATGGTTTTTTCATGTTTGATAAATTGCTGACTGTATTGTGTCCGTCAGATCAGCCGGTCTCGTGATTGATACATTCGAGGAGACTCCCTTAATATCCCCCCACAACCTGGTGCTAGTTCAGGGGCAGTTGGTGCCGCTAGCCAATATCACAATGTCCGACAATACGAGGGTGATAACATTCTGGGGTGAGACGAATGTCAACCTAGATCCAAGCTACTTGAAGGAAATGATTCTACCAGTTCTGAACAGCTTCATGGAGCTGTTCGATTTTGATTATCATATGCCAAAGCTTGATATCGTGTGTGTTCCGTTTATGGAGAATTACGGAAGTCCCGGATTAATAACAATCATGTGAGACTTTAATTATTTATACCCATAAAAAATGGTCATTTATCAATATCCAAAAAAAAACATGAATGGATAAATCAAGGATTTAGCAATTAATCCATCGCTGGACTCTCCAGCAAATTCGCTGAAAATTCGAATTGGGCACGGAGTTGAATATAATGCAATACAATATTTATTTGTGTAAATATTGAAATAATAATTAGACTGATGAATGCATCGGTATCGAATGCACTGGAAAACTAGAGTGATTTTAAATTGACTTGAAAAATCGTGAAGAATTTCGCGCATTCACGTGCATCAACGATCTAATTCCGTAATTATCGATTCGCAGTCAGAATTATCATTTGATTCTCTCGATTCCTCGGTTTTTTAACAGAGAACCACTTTTCAATGCGACGAGTGTGTCACCAGGAATAACGAGATATGAAACCCTCCAAACATTGATTCGTCTAGTTGGTCAACAATGGCTAGGTGGATTAGTGAATTCCCAGAATTGGACTGATGTCTGGATCCTCGAGAGCTCTCTCACCGATCTCCAACACTCGTTAATTCCCAAAGCAAGTGCTGAATAGTATAAAGGTATGAGAATTTAAAACCGTTGGTTCAATGGATTTTTAAATCTCCAGTTAGATCCAACATTTAATCACTCCACGTTCATCCTGGATGTTCAATTGGATGCGTTTGAAGCCGATGGTTACACTGTATCGCAGTCATTGCAGTCCAAGGTCAATCCAACATACTTGGAGGCATTTCATCCGGATGAATTGTATGACAGAGGTGAGAAAAAGATGCGAGATACATTGAGATTTATGATCGTTATCACAACACAATGGTAAATTTATTCTCGAGTCTTCAAGAAGGAATCCAAGAGTGACGTGAACGAAGGAAAAAAACTATCTGGCGGATTAGAATAAAACTTAGATACCAGTGCGATGTCTGAAGAGATGTTTGAAAATGTCAGCAGTCCACGGTTTAAGGGAATGAAATTCTTTTAAAAATATAGAAAGCCTTTTCTGGCCGAGCACTCAATAGATTGATCAATGCAATCATTCGGATCTTGAATCGCAGACACGAATTCCTTGAAAAAAAAATGTTTTATGACTAGCACAGAAAAGGGTGCAATGCTCCAGTCAGTGAAAAATTCCACGACCGGCACTCGGATTTTTATTGAGTAATTTTACCAGAATGAACCATAAACTTTGCTTGAATAAGACTGAAATGTTTTATAGCCGGCAGATTTTCCAGCACTAGTACTAGAATTTTCCTAATAATGTTTATCCACGTCAGTTATTTAATAAAGGAAGATGAATCTCAAATAAAATATGGGATGCACTGCGAGAGAAATTTTATCGCAGCGTGCGTAGAGTTTATGAATTGATGCAATTTTTACGAACTAATTTCGTGAAAATATCGTTGTCCGATCATTTAATGAATAATATTTAAGGGATGAAAAATATTTATCCGTAGGTGCATGTCTGTTACGCATGTTGCATGGAGCTTTAAGGAGAAACGAGTCGTGGATTGGATACAGGAAATTCGTTCACAGGTGGTGGGTAAACAGACTATAATTCCCATGTCCATTCAATTCATGCCTGACATTTCGACGTGAACTTCCGACTGACACATGTCACGCAAAAATTCACTATTTTCATGTTTACGTTATCAGGGCAAATGGAAATGGAGATGTTGCTTCATTTCTGGAAGCAATGACTGAAGATTCTGAGAATATTCCACAGGGAATTAATGTCATCGCTGCGATGAATTCATGGATCAGTAATCACGGATATCCAGTTTTGAATGTTCAAAGGGACTACAGTACTGGTTCTGCCAAGGTTCACCAGGTAAATCATTCCTCAACTCTCCAATCTTCTCGTCTTTCCCAAAAGAATATTTTATTTTCGCGTTTTCTAAAAAAAATACTCTCAACGCAGCCAAACAACAGTTGCAACAACAATTTCAGTGACATAATATAAACATGTAACAAGTATTTTCTTATTCAATGACATTCAGGGTCACTTCATAATCCCAACATTGGTGAAGATAATATATCAAATAATAAGAGTTAACATTCATTAAAACGTCATGTTTACCGACGTTTGTTCGTCATTGCTTAAGAAAGGAATAATGCGGGGTTCTATTTCGGTCGCAAGCCGAAACGCCGGTAAATCATACGTCATGAATGGAGAGTTGTATCATGAAGTGACTACAAGGCTGAATAACCCATCCTTTTATTCCACCTCACGACCAACGACTGCCGTCAATTACGAGAATGGAATATTCTCTGTTTGTTTCAGGAGCGCTTCAGCTTCGATAATTTAACAGCCGAAGCGGAAATTCCGTGGTACTTACCACTCTCTTGGATCACAGAAAACGATAACTGGTCGTCACCCTCATTCACGTGGCTGGAATCGGCGGAAATAAAAATCGATAAAGTCGGTAATCCCGATGAAAAATCGTGGGTGATATTTAACGTTAATTCCACGGGTACAGTATTACCTCGCAATCACCCATTCAACTCAATTGGAAATAAAATGAAAATACCCCTGATAGACTTTCAATTAATTTCAAAGGATACTACAGAATTAATTACGATCCCGATAACTGGCAATTGATTGCACGCGCATTAGAAGAGAATCCCACCGAATTTCCTTCACCGGTGAAAGCCTCTCTGATAGACGATGTACTGAGCTTGGCTTTCGTTGGCTCTACATCTTACGATACGGCTTTCAGTCTGATCAATTACATGAGAAATGAGAGCCAACCCGAGCCTTGGACGGCACTCATGCGTCACGCCATGAAACTTAATCTTGTGTTGTATGATACAGCGATATATCCGAAATATCAGGTGAGTCTTCTCCTAATTTTAAAAGATGTCGAAGCGCCACTGAAATAGTATTATTTCGACGTGTCCTAGAAAAGCTCAAAAAGCTCAGAAATATTATTCATACTGATGTACCTCGAGATTTATAACTGAACTCTCGTATTTCGCATTTTTTAAATCAACTCAACTGTGTCAATGTTCTCCGTGGAAATCATCTCAGTCATATCCAATTTCAGAATAAAATTCCATCGGAGAGTACTCGTTATTTATTACCATATTTCATAGCAATTGATATTGCTGTGCGCACACGTACGATTGTGAACAGAATGAGCATTGGGATTTACAAGATCGTTAATTACTCTGCGTGTCGATTTCACTGTCTTCCATAATTTTTTAAATAGTGACGGTTAATCGACAGATTTGGGTGGTTTTTTTTTTCAGGAATACATGAAAGAATTGACATCGAATTTTTACGAAAAGGTTGGCCTAGACATAAATCACGGCAGACGTCTGACACTAGTAGCACACCAATTAGGATCAACCTTTGGTATACCAGAGTATCTGACGTGGGCAAAGGAAAGTGCCGAAGGCCTGAAAAGCTCACTAGAATGGGAATCTCGTCATCTGTAAGACGCAAACAACCGAACACTAATGACAAAGCCCCTTTCCAGTTGAACCCCTAAGTAAATACTGAAACTTTACAGAATACCCTCGTATTTACGCGAGACTCTACTCTGCACCCTGGCGGATGAGCTTGGATGGCAGTGGTGGCAGCAGAAATTAGGAAACATCACGAAGCGCGACGATGACAGAAATTCATTCCTATCGTCTCTGGCCTGTTTCCAAGTGCCCTGGATGTTGCAGGCGTGAGTTTAAAGTGATACTCTTGATGTATTTACGTTTGTAGAGGAGATAGGCAAGATCCATCAATTTGAGATTCAACCGGCAGTGGGGACTATTTCCGTTTCTGTCCCTCAAATTGTCCAGAGGTGTTAAAACTACCTTTTACGGCTGTGCAATCTCAAACACTTGTTTATTGAATTGTTCCCAGGGTATTGAATGAAATTGTTAAGGGTGAGGTCTTCGAAGAGGCTGAGACGCTCGTTATTTTGAGAGCATTCGACAAGCATCCCGTTGCTGCTGGTGTAGCCTTTCAATTTGTACAGAAAAATTGGGTGGATATTGTTAAAAAGTTAATACTAATTTCAATTTTCATTTTTTTTTTTCACTGGATTGAAAGAAACATTTCGGCATTTAAAGGGATTTTTTAATTGACTAATTGTGGGGATTTGTTATAGATTTCACAAGTCATATCCAATACTCAGGGCTTTTATAGGGTCAGTAGGTAGTGGCTTCACGAGTGAAAAGGATCTGTCTGACGTACGTATAAAGGGGAAATTGGAGAAATTTGTAAACAAGTTGAGCACTTTCATCTCGCATTTTTCTCTTTCAGTTTGTGGAATTTCGAGAGGATAACTACGAGAGTCTGAAACCTGTGGGATACATCACAGCGTTTGTGGAGGCCAAAGGAAATTCCTGGGTATCCTTCCTTAACACATCCTTTGTGAACTTCGAGAAGACGATGGAAAGAATGCAATAGTTATCTGCCTTATGCAACAATCTCAGTACTTATTAATTTACTTTTAACTCGGTATGTAACAAGTGCGGAAACCTAAGAACAATTGTGATGTCTGTAATATTAAAATCATGAATAAAATTGCGACTCATTCCATTATTCTGTCACAACGAAGGGGAATCCAGTTTCATTAAAAAAACAGTGAAAACATTATCTACGACAACAATTTTTATTCTTCATTCAATCAATTTCACCCCCACAAGCTTGATTACAAAACGAAGCAACAAGAATCCCATCCTTACCCTAATAATTAAAAAAAAAATGATTGGTAATGATAAAACACCATTGAATTATCATAATTCATTATTCATTATTCAATTTTTCATAATATACAATTTAATAATAATAATCATCAATATTAATCATCAATGAACCGATAATAAATGTTAATGATAATGATAATAATGTTACATATTTAACAAATTTCACGATATTTCTATTAACTCTCATCTAACGACAATCATTACATAATTTGAGATAGATGGTTGACCCCTCAAGAATCATGACCGATTTTAATATTCCATTAAACCTATTTTTCCCTGGTTAATTGGTACCGTTATAATAATTATAAATATCCGTTAACGAACAAACCATAAAACGTCTTCCATCATTTTTATTTTCTATGGTTTCTATGGTGTTTTAGGGTTTAACCCTCAGACGTGAAATTCTTCAACGCCACACGATCGAGAGGGAGGGAGGGAGTGAGTGGAAAAGAGGGTGGAAACTCTTCTGACCTACCCTATAATACGCTCGATAGTTCCTTCAGTTATCGTTCTAGCCAATGAGGTCATTGATCGTTACAGACTTTTTATTTTTTAAACAAAAATTATCATGTCTCTTTCACTTTTTCTCACCCACTTGCTCTCTCTCCCTTTCTCTTTGTATCACTCGCTTTCTCTCTTCTCAAAGTATATTTACGCTAATCGGATGAACGTCACTCTGGGTGGCTAGACATTTTACCGATAACGTGGCAGAGGTGGGTTTACGATTAAACGAGAAACATTTTTTTTTTTTTTCATGGAACAGTCGATGAGAAAGGCTCGAGTATCTTTGTGAACAGTTTTTTTTTTGGAGGGCGATGGGTTTGACGTACAGTAGAATCGCGGTATAGTCGTACCTCTTCTCAATTTGTTTTTTCTCGGGGCAAGATTATGAAGATATAAACAATCCCTCAATCAATTATTTCGGCCTGCGAGGAATGGAATCGCGGGCAAAATAAAGCTGAAAAATAAATTTCTCTCGTATTCGAATTTATTATAAAAAAATTCGGTTTACGGTCGCGGCGAGCACATGGTGGGGTAGTTTGATATAGTCGAATTCGCTTCCCCTACAGCCCCATGGACACGATTAAAACGCGACTCTACCGTATTGGAAAAATTATTTCGCCATCAGCCTGGATGAAATTAACGAAAAAAAAACATTTTCAATTTTTACCCCTGAAATCAGTCAACCGCCTCAATTGTGATGCCATAGACATTTTCCTGAAACACAGGGCTGCACCGGCTTTAGGATCTTTTGAACCGATGATCGAGACATTTTTTAAATGAAAAATCGAAGAGTCAATGCGAGAGCAGTAAAAAGCCAAAATCGCTCCCATTTTTCCATGATTTATCCAATGGATCGTAAAATGTCAATCAAATGAAAATGCAGGAATATAAAAATTTTTAAAGGTAAAAACGAAAAACGATTTCCGTTGATATATAGGATCAAATCGATTCTGGTTATAATTTTTTCGATTTTCTGACACAACACACGATATATTGTTTTCAAATCGCTTGAAGAGTATTAATTTCTCACCGCGGTCTCCTCCTTAATTAAGAGATCTTTAATAATCTCGTTCAATCGTGCTCCTCGTACAAAATAATCTCAGCAACAATTTGTCCGTTTATTTACAAATATACAAGTAGATAAACAAGGCCGGTTCTGGATATAGGGATCTGCGGGGGGGTGCGGGGCGGGGG